ATTGTTGTGGGACATCCTAACTACATTTGTAGCTAGAGTTCACGTGGGATTTCCAACACCACAACTGGTGCCGCGACCCGGGAACAGATTGTGACCATTGTGAACTGTTTGTATGGCCTTCCAGTTTACGAGCTACCAAGAGAAGAAGGGCAAGAAAAGACAAGAAACATGGCGAAAGGACAACCGACGGTACCAGTTATGTGGTGTTGGAAATCCCACGTGAACTCTAGCTAGAATGTGGTTAGGATGTTCCCACAACAATACGTTTGCTAGACTAGCAAACTCTCCTACACGCGAGCCTAATGGCTTCATCTCGTCACTTGGCCGGAACAGGCTGGACATTGTAAACTATCTAATGTCTGCAGCTGCGAAAGTTGCGGGCAGGTGACTAGCAGGTGGAAAGATAGCAGGTGTTTTTAATCCTCGTGGTCCCAACAGCGGAAGGGTACCAGGCACGGGTAAGCCTTTTACGAGGTCACCGAGTGTTGAACACTCGGTGGGAAGAATAAAAGGGAGGCAATTCAAGCGCTCCCAGTCGTGCAAATAGGCAACAATAAGCCGTCACGTAAAACCTCCCGATAGTAATCGGCCAATACACAAAGTCTCTTGGCCTTGCCGGATGAACCCTCGCTACAGAGCTTCGAGTTCACTGACAGGCATAACACACTCAAACAAGCTTGACCAGACGCTTACCTTGAAGCCGGACGTCGCTCTGTGTGCTTGAGTGGAAATTCTGTTCTGTATTTAAGCTTACCCTTTCGGGTCTATTCCTAATAAGAAGTCCTAATCAAGTATACAAATATCAAATGAACAATGATCCGTTATGGATCTTCTTGCATGCCAAGCGTCGTCTGCACTGTCGCATGAGCATCTTTAACGGTCCGCGCCCTGTCCCAGACGGTGAACGTGCCTTCAAAAGGTCGCCGAGTCTTCCGCGAGCTCATCCCATCCGCCGCTGAGGGTTCGTACCGTAGATGGTCCGCTGAATGCGAATCCGGCCAGTCCATTATTAATAATAAGGACAGCCTGGATTCAGTGACATATGGGCCGTATCCAATACTCGTTGAAAGCTCGGGAGTGACGCCGTCGAGTCCCTTGCACCTTGGCGTCTCCGTACATCACATGACCGAGGGTTCGTTGCTTGAACATCTTGGGCGGTGTCACGTCTTTGTCGACGGGTGATAATCCGCAACTACGGAGAAATCACTACACCACAACTCTTTCCACATCCACAACCGTCGAGATTGATCTGCTCAGCTTTGGATTACGAGGTTGAAGTGACTGCGGAATTGCACATGATGTAAAGGGTGGCTGCGCTACTGCTGACTGCAGCGGATCATGACCTGAGGTGCTGTCTTCCCAGCTGAGTACAAGCCGTTTGTTTGAGAGAGCCTTTAGTGTATCTATTCCCGCTGCTAGCGCATCCAGCTTGCCGTGTAGAGATTCCATTCCGTTCTTCAGCACGTCCGCAATTTGAGGCACTACAACTGCAAGCGATTTTGTTTCAGGCTGATCCTTTGATCAGGAACTCTATTCGTTGCTGGTATCAACGAATAGAGTTCCTGATCAAAGGATGCGTACTCTGCAGTGGAAAACAAACTGTGCTTCCACAATTGATGATTGGGATACTGCCGCCGCACCACCACAGAGTCTTGAAGAAAGACCACTCGCATGTGACGGAGCATTTGAATGAAGGCAGCTCCAGCAATTTCACGCGTCGAGCTTTGAGCCAGTTGTTTAACTGCTGCCTCAACCTCAGGGTAAACCAATTGTTGTAACTCAGAGCTTGGAGTAGCAGAACCTCGCTGCAGCCAGTACCGCCACCCTTTGTCGGATATCCAGCCAAGGCTCGCATAGCCTTTTTAGATAGGGATGTAAGATAGCATCCTTCCATCCGCGCTGCATTCCACCTCCCAAGACGCCGAATTTGTTCTTCACTAGCACCAAATGTTTCCGTCAATTTCGCCCCCGATCCTCGATTAGCATGTGTCCAAACGGTTGAATCGATCCCGCACGCCGCAAAAGCTCGCTTGATACGATCTAACTGGGTGTTGTACGAAATCTCCTTCGTTCTGTCACCACCATTAATGAGGTGGATATCATACCACCTTTCGTGGCATGTAAAATTGGGAAATGGTTCACAATCAATTTGCCAGCGCCAAAAAAGATGGAGCGCTGCAGCATTCAATGGGCACACATTCACGTTCTTACATCGCATGGCTGCCCCGTACTCGATGCGGCCATGCTGATTAATTTCGCCTCGATTCATGATGATCACAAGTGGCGTGCATGTTTGCGAGCCTTTATCCGGTAGCTCCAGCCTTAACATATCAGGGAATTCAATAAAGCGGCGACTCTCGCCCCGTGAAAGAAGTGCATGTCCTAAAAAGAAATCTACACGATCACGCAAAGAAACACCGTCGTTTTGAGACAGCCAATAGTCAGTGAGTTGAACCATGTCTTCGACATTAAATCCATCAAGAACGGTACCCAGCGCTCGATCTGCGTAGCTTTTTCGCTTGCGCTCAGTTTCCGACCGCTTGAGCGTGTCGAAAATGTCGTGATAGGTCTTCCCACGTGGATGTGGATGGCTATTTAGAAGTAGAGCCTGCTGCAACTTGTTCAGATTGGTCACAGCTTTGGCATAAGCTTCAATCCCAGCAAAACTGAGAGCTTTAGCATCACCAGCTTTGGTTTTCTGGCGCTTGTTACCACGAGGAATAACGTGCGTCTTCAAAAACGTATCTAGTTTCCCTTCAGTGACAATACAGCCATCCAAATACTTTTTACCTGCACACCACGTTTTAAACTCGGCTTGTTTTGGAGCGTACTGCTTAACGGTGTTGGAAGGGCGCGCAGCGGCGTGATCTGTGATAATGTCTGTCACCACTTGATGAATTTCTTGAAAATTCGCAATATCATCACGCGTGTACTCGTCCATTTAGACACTTTGAAACAATCTCTACGGGGGTGGGGGGTGGGTGGGGGGGGCGCTTGCGAGTGCTCGCTGTCGATCACAGACTGGTGAGTTGGCGAAAAGAATTGGTTGCTAAAGGTATTTTACTATAGGATTTATCTATAGAGATACATAATTAAATACCTCAAGTATTTCGCAACTGCTTTGTCCAATACCTTCAGACCTAGGGTTTCGATCGAAAGACGCGTCGGGAGATACCGATTGTCGTTTGAGTGGCCAAAAAGAGATCACCTTAGGTGATTTGGTCAATAAAACAGTTTTCACAATTTTTCACAAAATAAAGAGATCGATGGTCTGAGTCTCTGTCACTCGTATTAAAGCTACGTTTTGGCTCACCACCAGTCGCTCAAATGTAGCTGTTGCCACGGAATTGCAATGTCAGCTACGCAACGATGCGAACATTTCTGAAAATGTGGTCGACAGCAGACTGCAGCACACGCGAAAACAGTTGTCGGCACAAACTCACGATAAATTCTTGATGATACCGGTACTTGCCAGTTGTGGCGAAAGAGACTCTCGCCATTAGTTCTCTTTCAGATGAACATTTCAGCCCCTTTGCCACGTCGATATCGGTACGCACATCAGCAGGTATACATACCATGGATCAAGGAGATTAGGCCAACGGGGTGGAACCGAAGGATGCAAAATAGTCCGAGTCTACGAACACAACGTGTTGATCACGCGCGAATACATGTAGTACTGCTGGGCAAATCGCTTTTACAGTACATTGTGTAGGGTACATTACGCTACACAGTATCGCTACATACATGAAATACGTGTACTATTATTAATAATAATACGTTGCTTGCTTCGCTAGCGGCTGGTACACTGGTTAAAGGTCGGCTACGAAAGATGTGAGTCGGTGCATGAACAGACAACAGCTGGAGGCGCGTAGCGGACCTTCTTACTCTTCGGATGGGGTCGGCCACCACATTCACTTTGCAATTTCTGTTGTGGAAGCAGAAGGCGAACAGTTGCAATTGCAGTAGCTCTGTAGCTCTGTAGACGAACGTAGCGATGCGGAACATTACGGACTCTACTTGCGACTACGGTTTCGCGCGGACAGAGGAAGGGTGTGTGCGCACGCTGTCTTCGTACAACCCGGATGCGTACCTCCACGTGCAGATTATTTATCTCGCTCTCGGCAGTGTGACGACACTCGCCAGCGCCGTTATGTACATTCGGTCACTCAAGTATGAGGCATCCAACCTGCAGCAGTATAATTTTATCTTCTGCTGCTACGCGTCACTGTCAATGGTGCTAACTGGTGCCGATCCGAAAAGTTATGGCCATCTTATTCCTCGCCCCATCAGCAGCTTCCTGTCCGATTCACTCACCGCCGCCCTCTACTCCGTGTAGTAAGTTGCAGGTTTAAATTTTGAGCTCTCGCACAAATCTCTAACCATATTTTTTGCACAGTATCCTGACTCTCGGATATTGGGCTACCATAATTCAAAAAGGTGCTGCTATGGGCGACAGACCAGCTCAGCTCATCTGCTTGGCGAGCATTGCCATCGCGGTTGTATGGGCGTTTTACATTCTGTATAACATCTCGCTCTTCTTGTCCAAGGGATTCAACCGCACTGGAATAACGTATCTGCATCTAATGTGGAGTGCGATAATGCTGGGCATCATTAGCACAGTCTTCTTGATCTACGGCTTGCGGGTTCTTTCGCGCCTTCAGGCATACGAACAGGAGAAGAAACTCCGGATACCCACCATGGCGTCGGATCGTGTGATGAACCACTCGTACAACATGGGGAGTCTTAGTGACGACGAAGATGGCGTCCCTGTAGTACAGGAGCCCAAATTCGCGAACCGTGGCAAGCCAAACGAAGGCCATTCCACAAAGATCCGCAAGATTCTGTACGTGACGGAGACGATTTCACTAATCGTCATCGCCGCGCAAATGTATATGGCTGTAACACATACAGCGAACGAGTCTGAAGAGCTCCAATGCGCTAATGGTATCGACTGCGAGTTTGTCAAAGCTGGTCTCAGCTACCTGAATGTCCTTCAGATAGTGTGTGTGTGGGTGGTGTTGTGGGCCTTCCGGACTATCAAAAAGAAAGAGGTAATCCCTCAACCTCAGGCGCCTTCAATGGCGTAGAGATCGGTGTTAGTGTAGCGAGTAATTGTGCGTTCTTTGGTTGTAACGAAATTCAAGAAGTAAAGGAGACAGAAGGTCTCAACGATCCCAACTACTTGTTCAGTGGGCAACTTACTTTTATTTTTTGGAACATGGTTGTCATTTAACTTGTGCAAAGCTAACGACATCGAGACGTCGGGTCGATAGGACATACATTGTAGGTCGTCGTACGGTAGCAATATTTGTTATTAACTGACTCCAATGTCCCTCACTGCGAAGAAAAAGCTAACGACATCTGACCAGCGTCTCCATCCACTCACCCCTCCTCGTGACGCACTTGACACACAAGGCTGCCCCAACACCTTACGACGTTGAGACCACGAACCTCGAGAGGTTCTCATCGCCGTTTCTCTGCAACCAGTGACCTACATCATTGGTTGCGTTCGCATACACAGCAGGCCAACGCTCGGACGCTTCGGCGACCACGGGGCAACTCTTTACAGGACGGAGTATCACCTTCCTCTACTAGAGGACTTGTGCCAACTTGTTCCATTCTATTGTGTAGCAAGTTCTCAAAGTGCAGGGAAAATCAAGAATTTAAGAAGAGAAACCCCACAGTAAAGGAAGCTCGCTTTTATGATGTGACGAAAGTCAATATGCAACCATGGCATTCTCCTATGCACGCTGTGTTGCTGCTTGATATTTCTTGTGGAACCAGTCCGCGATATAAGTGAAGGGTGCCTCGACACCCGAATTTTGTTGCTGAATAACCAGAGTTCTGTTCAGCTTCGGTTCTATAACCAATTTTATCCCAATTAGCTTACCGCAGAGCACTCAAAGTATTTCAGATCGTTGCGCGACGCAAATTCTTCTGCCTCCTTGGTGGAAATTGCGTCGCGGTTGTTATAGCGCAGGTCCGTCTTGTTGGCCAGCAGGACACCTGAAGCAAAGTTGTGTTATGCCGCCAAGGCAAATGCTGAGCATTTCATACCTGGAATGTTGTGGTTTGGCGACGCGTCTCGAACATCCTGGTACCACTTGCTACAAGATTTGAATGACTCTTTGTTATTCACATCGAACACCACGAGAGCCATCGATGCACCCTTGTACTGACAATCATGAGGGATACATGAGTAAGGTTCTTTCAAGGTTTCACAAAAAAGGAGTGGGGACGTACATGCACAGTGCCAAAGTCGAGTTGGTTGAAAATGCTTTGGCCAGCACAGTCAAAAAGATAAAGCTCCACAACGACATTTGTATCGGGGATAGCAATACTTTTCGCTGATAGCTCCACGTCTGATGTCTGTTGAGCACCAGAGCGAAAAACAGTGCTGTGTATGTACACTTTCACAGAAGAAGAACGCACCATAACGTAGTTCTTCGGGTATTCGTGACCATTGCTCTTGAGAACCTGCAGTAGGGCTGTCTTGCCCACGGTAGCATCGCCGACGATAGCTACCTTACAACGCAATACCGTCTATCATTTAGAACCAACACACAAACGCAGACATCGTGAGACGTAGGCACCCTCTTTGATACCGTGCCAGGGGCTTGTACCGCGCTCTTGTGGGTCGTCTCCATACTACGCAGCGCTGACATGATGACAGTAAGCCCCTCTAGGGTTAAGTAATTCTGAGACGACGGGATCCTTGAAAAGACTCCTCAATGCGAGGAGTCGGTTGCAAGGGCATACATGCATAAGTATACACTTGTGAATTGCGATGTTATTGCCACGACTTGGTTATTGGTTTCCTATCTATCTTCTCCCTGTAGGAACCTGGTATGCTCCCCATGATCTCGGGCAGCATTATCATTACTGCGCATTTTGAGAAAACGTGCTGCTTCTTGTCTTAGCAACTCACGCAACACGACAGCACCAGCAACAGTCTCTGCTAAGAGCAGCAACAAAAGGCCTGTTCCCGCTACAGCATCAAACGGAAGGCGATGTTCTGCGAAAAAGCTTAGGTAGACCAGCCCTGGGACCAGCGGGCAAGCAGACAGGAACATGAAGGCAGTGAGGGGGAACACCTGCGATCGCAAGTTGCCACGCGTGCCCAAGTAATATCGTGCTGTATCTGCCGGGATCAGCACAACTAGGCAGCAAACAGGAAGTGCACGAGATAACGATGAGCTATACTGAAGCGCAGTCAGCTTGCTTCACGCAAGTAAGAGCTGTTAGATGTTTATCCACTTTTGAAGCCAATGGATCGTTAGACTCCTCACCTTGTCGTGCAGGAGGAGGCATGAAGTCGGGTAAAAGAGGAAGCCGAACCATGCCTCCAGGCATTTTGCCTGCTGCAGAATGAGCCGTGCACGCCGTCGCTGCTTCGATATAAGCATACCGACCTGAGCAAACTGAAAGGTCCGCCTGAAAATAACTGATTCAATGCAAAGAGACACCACTGGGTCGGGCGTACTACTACAGTAGTAGTAATAAACTTGTATTAGACTCGCGTTGTAGCCAAGGTCAGAGCTTTGCTGCATGTTTAGCAGTCGAGGTAGTTGGCTGCCATGAGCAGCTCCATGGCAATCTCCGGCTCGATGATAAACTCTGGCAGGCGTGACGTGCTGTCTGAGTACTGAGTCTTGTAGTACATGTACTGTGAGACTTTTTCCAAGATAGGAGCGCTGATGTCGGGGAATGTGATCTCGCCCTTGCTCTCCGTGAATTGGCCTGCACCAGAGTCATAAGATATGCTGTCAACTATAACAAGAGAAACGGCTACGCACCGCTTAACATGGCACGGATGGTTCCCGACACCATGGCGCACTTCCTGCTGATGTAAATTTCGTGACCCTCAGCGCTGTGGCAGCAGATTAAATATTCAAGTCAACTTCATCCTGAGGTCCATTGCGCGGTTACTTTATCAAAGTTAGACAGGCATCAGTGCCATTAGCGGCTTTACCTGATCATCTTAACCATGTCTAGCGCCGTAGCCGCGTCACCAGTTTCCTGTGCCATGTCGTCTCAGCTCGAACTTGAGGGTTCCAATTTGCAACTTGCAAAACGGCAAAAACACATGGCAGCAATGGATACTTAGTGGGAGCAAACTTTAAGTCTCATTTAATTTAACTACTACAGTAAAATATACAGGAAATGAATTCATCGGTTTACCTCTGCAACATAGAAACTCTCTCCAATGCGATCTTTGTCATCATAGCAAATAATGGCAAATGGACATCACAACAACTGCATTCCAAGCGGCTCTGGCAGTGCTCTGCGCACTTGCGGCAGCAGGTGGAGTCTCTCACTTAGCATCTACCTTACGTATTGGGCCTAGTGCGTTTCTCCGGTCAATCCTAGCTGCCCTGGTGATTGTGCAGTTCTTCTACCTGTACCAAGCTTCAAGACACCACCTCCAAGTTGATTCATAACAGCTTTGAAACTTCCCACATCCCGCGCTCTCAGTGTTTTGTAATGTCATATTAACGGCAAATACAGCGCCCGTCTTGTCTTACTTGGATTCAGCGATGGATAGGTTAGCCGGCCTGGTTCTTAAGCACCTGGAAGACTTTTTTCTTGATCCACTCCTTGCCACAGGGCAGATACGTCTTGGTTTCGAGGTCCAACACAAGCGCGCTGAGGTCCGTGAGCGAGTCAATGTACGTGTACAGGTCCTGAATATCGTACGTAATATTCTTCATGCTCGGATTCAGCTGCTTGAGCTTGGCCTCGTACATCTTGACCACGCCGTCCATGCCGCCGTTCACCGACTCAAAGTCCAGATACGTGCGCGAGTTCGGATCGCGCGTGTACTGCACCAGAATGATGGTATGCTTGGCCTGTCGGAACTCCGCCTTTGTTGTGTACAAACACACACTCGTCAGCTATTGGACACAGGCACTTTCATTTACGCCCCCACCCTACCATCGTTTGAGCCCTCCTCCTTCTTTCCCTTTCCGAAGTCACTGGCAGGAAGGCTGATTTTTAACTTCGGAACACAAAATACACACCATATTACGGTGACTACACCACTTTTCGCTTCCGACGGAAGCGACCTTTTAGGATCCACTTGGGATGGAAGGTCAGGATGATGCACGGGGCGGAGGCGCTGCCAAGTCGGCCACTGTACTATTTGATGCATCCAAGAAGGAGCAGTTCTACCCGACTAGTGGGCTCAAGAAGCTCGCGCGTAAGCTCAAGCCGTTATGTCGCGTGGATGTCAATAAGGACGACTTGTCCCGAGACCGGATAAAGGATGCTAGTGTGCTCGTTTTCGCCGGTGTGCGCGAACGCTTCAGCTCCACTGAGTTTGCTACCCTCAAGGACTTTTTGAACAGTGGTGGCAGCATCCTCCTCATGCTGGGCGAGGGCGGCGAGCAGACTTTCGATACGAATCTCAATGGCTGGCTCAAAGAGTGAGAACGTTGCAATTAGCAGTGCGAACATGCTAGGAACTCACTTGTTGTGTTGTAATGCTGTAAGTTTTGGCATTTTCGTGAATCCGGATGCAGTTATCCGTACAGTCTACCACAAGTATCATCACCCGAAAGAAGTACTCATATCTAGTGGAGTCGTAAACAGAGAGCTCGCGCGAATGGTAACACCAAAAGGATCTACAATTGGCATATGTCTGAGCGTCGACTAATTTGGCTGCCTCAATACAGGTCAACGTGTTGTACGGGAGGAAAGATCTGCTGGTGGCGGGGCGCGAGTCAAAGCCTTTAGGGCCAGGTGGGGCGCTTGAAAAGGATCAAAAGGGGCTCACGTTTGTATACCCTTATGGAGCTACTTTGACGGTGAAGAAACCAGCAGCGCCTCTGTTATCTTCCGGTTTCATTTCGTACCCTGTTAACAGACCAGTAGTAGCTGCGTGGCAAGAAGGTGGCGTTGCAGGACCAGCATCAAAATCAGGGCGTCTTATCGTGTTTGGGTCTGCCCAATGCTTTGTGGACGAGTGGATTGATAAGGAAGAAAACGCAAAGCTCCAAGAGATTATTTTCCGATGGTTATTAAAGGACAAGAGCATCAGTTTAAACCATCAAGACGCCGAAGATCCAGATCTGAACGAGTACGTCCGGTTGCCAGACACTCAAGCGCTCAGTGATCGGCTGCGATCTTGTATGCAAGAAAGTGAAGATCTCCCAAAAGACTTTACAAGACTCTTTGACGACTCGCTTTTCAAGTTTGACACGTCTCTCATCCCTGAAGCTGTGAATTTATATCGTGAACTTGGCGTCAAGCACGAGCCTCTCACGTTGATTCCACCTCAGTTCGAGTGTCCTCTGCCGCCTCTAAAGTCTGCGGTCTTTCCCCCAGCACTACGTGAACCACCGCCACCAGCACTGGACCAATTCGATCTGGACGAACATTTTGCGAGTGAATCATTGCGACTCGCGCAGCTTACAAACAAATGCTCGGACGACGATCTGGAGTATTACGTACGCGAGAGTGCCGATATTCTTGGTATCTTACCGCGACTAGACCCAGAACGCATCGATGCCAAACACGTTCTCGAGTTTATCTTTCAGAAGGTTGTCAACTTCAAGAAACTCAACCAAGATACAGCTCCTGTTATCGTCGGCCCTAGTGCTCTCAACAATAGTGAGAGCACGAGTAATGTCCGAGTCTCTTCACTTGCAAATTTTGCAGAGTCTAAGGAGTCAAAAGAGGACAACGATGATGAATATGATGCCAAGGCCTCTTCCACGCCATGAGGTGAAGTAGCAATTATTGCGCAGCGTAGACAGCAGAGGAAAGTGGAGTGCAGTAATATTACCATATTCTAACGAATCTCTCTTCTATTTACGAGGCTTCTGGTATACTGTGCTGTTGCGTCCTAGAGAGTAGCCGCGAGTGCTCGTAAGTTCTGCTGACGCTACTTGACGAATGTGTTGCACATGTTCATGAGAGCTGGCACGTAGACGAGTTTTCGTGGCCGCCAGTACGTCTCCGAATTGTTTCGTTGCAATATCCAAATGTTGTTGCAACTCGTTCCGCTCTTGACGACGAGCTTCCAGACGCTTGCACATGGGTGTGTATCGAGCCATGATGTTGGCCACCTCGCGGTCGATATGCCCAATCTCGCTCTCGTAATGAGCCATTGCTGCCTGTGTAATCGCCTGCTTCTGCCTCATCGCAGCCACCAGTTTGTCGAGTTCACCAATCTGCACTCCAAGGTTTAAAAAGGAGTTTCCTTAGGCCTGATGACGGTGGACGTACACGGAGGGTGGCGAGCATCGACACGTCACCTTTCTCCAGTGCTTGACGCTCCATGAGAGTCACACGGGAGGTCTACAGACTCAGAACAAGTGTTAGAACTCGAGCGTTACGATAGAACATCATTGTATCGCTTACACTACTGAGCGTGCTCGTAGATTGAGGACCGGTTGCACGCATCATACTGAAGTTCTAAGTGCTAATGCGACCTGTTAAAAACTGCAGGCACTTATCGCTTTTAACTCAGCCTTCACCTGCTAAATATACGTTTTGACTAATGATAAATGCGGCCATGCCAACTCGACATCAAGGGGAGAGAGTATCTATTCACCGTTTTCCGTATCCTACGTCACAACGCACGCAGCCCACAGGTACCACCTGTAGCGTGTCCCCCCTTGAGGTAAAAATTACTCCACGTCGAGCTTCTTGGGATTGGTCCTCCTCTCCTGTTGTGTAGCCACCTCCTTTAAACTGTAGGAGGGCTTTGAGGCAGAATTCGTCCCATTGACTCGGAACTAACGTAGCGACCAAGTCGTTTATCCGTACTGCAGACGGAAGACGTCGTTGTGGATGTAATACTGGCCAGGCTGGTGGGCTACAAGTTGAAATACCTGCGTGAACTGGATCGGGTTGTTCTCCTCGATTTGCATCTTGCCCTGCACGAAGATGATCATAGCGTTGCCCGATGTTGACGGCTGAATGTCCACAGTCGGATACTCGTGACGCACGGCCGGTAGAGCCTGCATCTTGGCCACGATGGCTTGCTGGCCCGTGGACATCTGTCCTTCCCAGCTCAGGTTGGACACGTCTTGCTGCCATTTGACAAAAAACAAAACAAAGTTGTAGTAAATAATCCAGACCCTCTATCGGAGACTTAAGCGTGGCGTACGTAAAGACTGGCGAGTCCCGCCCGGTTCGTGTCGAACGTGGTGTAGTAGTGCTGCACGAAGGCCTTAGCGACCTCCTCGGCAGACATGATGAACTGCTTCTACTTCGCCCTTCCCGCCGTCTTTTAGAGAAATATTCGTGGTTTGGGCGGATACTGGTAAAAAATGTACAGGGCCATGGTATTGGATGAAATTATGCAAGACAAATGTCTACACTGTGTAAACGTTGCTTGGGAGCTACACCCGCTAGGACGCCAAGGCTTCCGAGGGGGTCAGGTTTTCGCGATCGCCGGTCTCCAAGGACGTCGAGGATGAAGTGGTGGAGCTGCCGAGCAACCTCAGCTGCTGGAGGGTCAAGAAGGATTCGAACAGCTCCTTGGATGCGTCGCACTTGGGGATCACGTGGCCTTGCGTGTGCACCGAAGTCAGAACACGGTTCTCAAGGGTCTATCGGCAACGCACATTATGAGGTTAGTCTCGTGCAGATGCACGCCGTAAGCTGTAGCACACTACCAACCTCTTGTTGTTTAAATATGTCCACCACTTGCTCGCTCTTTGCTGACGGGATAACATGGTCGTTCGAGCCGAATACGTGCAGCGACGCTATATTCGGGATAATACCCGAGTCCAAGGAGTATTGCGCCGAGCCAAGGTAGCTGCCAATAAGCACAGCCAGCTTCGGAGACCACTGTAATTCAGCACGCGCCTGCCATGTTTCAAAGTTGACGTAAGAAACTATTACAGTCTCACATCAGCCTCTACGCACCTGTTCCGAGCACATCCACGCCGCGAGGCTTGCACCTTGTGAAAACCCTACCACGCCGTCCACATTTCCCACCTCGAGCAGCTTCTCGCGTAGGAAACTCACGAGTACATCACGGTCACCATCCAGGTTGCTTGGATCCGCTTGGTGGATGCCCAGGGGCCGCCACCACGCGCGGAACTCGGCTTTCTTCTTCGCGCAGCGCACGCGCTTGTGTTTACTGGGAGCTAAACATGAAGTGTTTGGCCGCTTGCTCTGACGCGCCAGAATGGGCGGGGTAATGGTGAAGGGCCCGTCCAAGAAGACTAAATCCACATCGGCGTTGCGCAAGGGATTCGTCTTGCCCACAAAAGTGGTCGCGTCTTGGTACATGCCGTGCAGACACAGAAGACGCAGCTTTCGTCCCGTGCACCTGCTCAGCATGCGCGTCGCCGTCATGGTCGCGACCTAGCTCTGAATGCCCTCAATTTGTAGCCGCAATTGCAAACACTTTCATCCAATAAATAGAATGTTTTTGGCAAATGAAATAATAGCATTTTAGAATGATTATGCCTACTTTTAAATGTTTCACTCGGTAATAAGTGAGGCATTTATCGTGGCCAATCAGATCCCTACTTTTTGTCCCAACTGTCCCGACTTTCTTACCGGGCACCTGTCATATTTGATAGCGTAGAAAAAGCGAAAGAATTGTTGGTAGATACATGTACAAGCCTTAAAAGATTTCTTTTCTCCCCATCGATAGGATAGATAGGATGGCAACTTTAAAAATAAAGTTTGGTCACACAAGGAGCTGACATTGAAAATGAAACGGACGTCCTTATAGCCTAAATAGCAATGTGCCTGATATTTCTTTCCGCTCTCAATTTGCCAAAGAGACGATGGCAAAACTACAGGTTGGAAATCGCGTATGTGGTATTGTGCTTTGCAGATGGAATGTCCATCCGTTTTATAGCCTATATCGAGCATGGTCGGAGCTTAAAACCACGCGTAAAAATGAGATGGGAAGAGGGAGGCATCGATTTGTTTAACCTGTTTTCAGAGTTGCAAAAAGGGTCTCTTTATATTATAAATCGAGCATCAGGCTAAGTGAAATGGACAAAAGCATTGAAATGCACAATAAAAGCAAGAAGCACATCAGCGAAACTGGTATCATCCTTCGAGTGCTAAAGGAAAGCAGTCAGCACACTTACGATGTGACGGGTTACATGATGTGGAACACACAGGGGTACGGAGTATCCGGAGAGTTAACAAACTCTCAGTACATAAGTTGGAGAGCTAACAAGGTTTCTCAGTACGTTGGCTGAAAGCTACACGTTATGCATTTGATTAGGTTTAACTATGCTAGATAGTTAAAGAGATACATTTACCCCTAGGCGGCTTGGCCGCAATAATAGTAAATAAAACACTTCTGGTTTTGAAGCATAAAAGTTAAGGTATTAACTTTGAGCCCTGGTCTTGGGCTGTAAGTGTCCTTTGGATAAGAAGCTTAGTATTAGTGACTCTTTGAGTCGAACGTCTTCTTCTGACGCTAAAGCTACGGCAGCCCCGCTGCACTTGGTAGCACTTGTAGTCAATCGCGCTCCTGAGTCGGTTGACTATATCCTCTGCGAGGATGGAGCACCCCGTGTTCGCGAATTTACCCCCGGCGCAGCAGGACGCGCTTACTAAGCTTATGTCCTTGCTTGGCCCGGAGGGCGTGGCTCATCTTGCATCGCAAGGTCCAGAGGCGGTCACTGCCAGGCTGGAATTGTTCTCCCGCTACGAGAACGCGCTCTTGGAGCATGTCCAAGAGAAGATGAGCGCCGCAACGGCGGCGGCGTCGATGACGCGTGAAGAGTCTATGAGACTGAAACCGCTCATGGTGAGCGTAAAAACCTTCGAGAGGAAGGATGGAGAGAATCTATTTCTCTGGACCCGTGAGGTCGAGATGGCCATGGGATCGGCCCTGCTCCAGTCTGAGTATCAGCGCGTGGCGCTGGCTATCGCCAGGCTTGGAGGTCGCGCTCGCGAATGGGTACTAACGTGCGGCACGTCTGTTGACGCTGCATTTCCCACTTGGGATCAGCTGAAGCAACAGCTTTCGCGCGTGTTCGCGCCGCCTAATCAGGTGTACCGTATCCGGTCGAAGTTCCTTGCTACCCGCCAGGGTAAGAAGGATTTATTGGACTATGTCCAAGAGTTGATAGCTCTTATCGCCGGAATGGCGGCGGACCCTCTTCCGGAACTGGTCAGCGTGACCGTGTTAATGGAGGGACTTCGTGTGAGCGCAGCTCGAACGGAAGTGTTCCGTGTACACCCTAACGCTTTCGAAGAGGCGGTGGATGTGGCATTGAATGCCGAGCACAACTTCAGGTCGGCGCGACCTCCAAGAGCTTGCGCTGGTAGCGCAAGCTCTTTGAGCGGTCCAGAGCCGATGGACCTCAGCTATGCGGAAGGTGAAGAAGCGGAGCTTCTTGCTGCGGAGCAGCGCGCCGGCATCCGCCGATGCTTTGTGTGCAATAGCACTAAGCACTTGAGGGCCTATTGCCCTCTGCGCAAGAAGCGCGAGGATCCGGCGAGCCAACCCTCCGGGTCATCGCCGGGAAACGGCAACTCTCAGTAGGCGCGGGGCGGCCTAGTGGGGAAGAACTGAGTGCTGTTGTGCCTCGAAGAGGTAGAGGGCAACGGGGCTCAGCCCCGAAGAGAGCTGAGCTCTCTTACGAGAAGAGTGCGTGCAAGCCGGGCTTGCTGGTCGTTCAAGCGAACGTGAAGGGCTTTGCAAAGCCATGTAGAGTCTTGATTGACTCGGGAGCCTCGGGCAACTACGCCCGTCGCTCCACCCTTGAAGGGGGTCAGATGTATGATGAAGCACTGGAAGTGCCAACGAGAGATACGATCTCTGTCCGGCTCGCGACGGGGACACTGGTAACTGTGTCGAAGCTCTCTGTCGACCTTGGAGTGAAGTTTGAGAACTTCGATAGCGTGGAACGCTGTTTGGTCTTAGACCTGGATGCGAGGTATGACCTCATCCTTGGCATGGCATGGTTGGAACGCCATGAGCCATGGATCGACTGGCAGTCGAAAACGCTGGGTGCGTCGCACCCTGTTCCTAGTGGAGCTTTGGTGAGTCATGAACCCACCTCTGCTAGGAAGCAGAAGCGCTTTTGGCGCGAGCACGAGGCCGAGGCGGCCTTAGTGCTGGACATTGGTATGTCCGAAATTGTTAGCAACGAGGTTGCTGTTTGCCCTGAGGGCGTACGTGGTGAGGCACGTTAGCCGCTGAGCGGTGCAGGTCAGGTCAATGACCAACTGCTGGGTCCTGGTGAGGACGAGCGCGGAGTGGCGCGTAATCCACTGAGTGGTACGAATCTGTTCGATGACCTACCGCTGCGTGACCCGAGGGTCGCGGTCGACTACGAGTCGAGGCATCATGGGCGTGGCCCAGGAGATGCAGGTGAAGTGACACCTAGTTCACTGTGTGAAGGTCGAGGACCTCTTGGCTTTCAGCCAAGTGTCTTGCGAGACACTGTATCCTCTTCGAGGAGTGATGGTGCTGCTGCACCCGGCGGTGGTGACGGAGATGTCGCCACACCGCCCTCTTCCGGCCGGGCTCGGTCGCGGAGGGAGAGGAGAAGAAGACGCAAGGCGTCTGTGACGTCTTTGACGTCGGACGATGTGTCCAACGTGACGAGCGGTGATACTCCACGTGATTTCTGTGAACAGCTGTATACACTCGTGAACGGAGTGACGGGGGAGGTAAAAGGCGATATCAGCCTTGACACTCTGCCCGCTGCAGATGCTCTGCTAGAGCTGGACGAGATGTCCATTGCCGAGTTTGGCGAAGCCTTAAAGGCAGGCGAGCTAGCCGAGGTGGTCCTGCTGGGACCTGAGGAGGAGTTGAACTCCTCATTCGTCGTGGACGACGCGGTCCTAGAGGACACCAAGAAGGCGCTGAGCGCAAGAAGTGGATCGGCGATCCTCAAAGATCCTTCGGATCCCTTCTACCCGGTGGTGAAGGAGTATGGAGACGTTGTCTCGAAAGACCCACCGACGAGCCTGCCTCCGGATCGAGGCGTGTGTCATGAGATTGACCTGGTTCCTGGAACCAAATACTGCGTAACAAGGCAATGGCCTTTGCCGAAAGAGCAGTGTGACGTCATTGACGCATTCTTCCGTGCGAAGCACGAGGCAGGGATGGTGCGTGAGAGTAAGTCTCCGCACGTGACACCCACGTTCTGTGTCAGAAAGCCGAACGGCAAGTGGCGCATTGCTCATGCTTTTAACAAGCTAAATGCGGCCACTATCCCGGCGCAAACGCCGATTCCTCGCAATGATGTTCTGCAGAACAACATGGTAGGCTGTGCGTTGTACAGCGCGCTCGACTTGGTCGATGGCTACTACCAATTGCTCATGAGAACGAGCGACATTCCGCTGACAGCGGTGAGTACTCCGAGCGGTATGCTCTGGGAGTGGCTGGTCATGCCCCAGGGGCTGTCGAACGCACCAGCAACGTTCAATCGTCTTGTGACGCAGTTGTTTAGGCCCCACCGGGCGTACGCTCAGACGTACTTTGACGATATATTCGTCCATAGTCGTGCTGAGCACGGAAAGTCAGACGTGGAAAACCACATTGACCACTTGCGAGCGGTGCTCGAGTGCATGCGCACTAATAAGTTGTATGCCAACTTGGATAAGTGCGTCTTTGGCGCGGAGGAAATACCTTTCCTCGGGTGCTTCATTGGGAAGCGTGGCTTAAGGGCAGATCCTGCCAAAGTCAAGGCCATAGTGGACTTGCCGGTTCCCAAGAACCAAAAGGACTTACGCAAGTGGCTAGGCTTAGCCAATTACTTGCACAAGTACAGCGCAAACTACGCGGAGATGGCTCGGCCATTATCAGATCTCCTTAAGAAGGACGCACCATGGTGCTGGAACGTCGAGCACGACGGAGCCTTTGAGGCTGCGAAGGAGAGCCTTCTCCAGGCTCCGATCCTTGCGCTACCGGACCCGGATAGTCCGTTTAGCGTCGTCTGTGACGCCTCCGATTTTGCAATCGGTTGTGCTTTACTACAAGCAGACGCCGAAGGGCGTGAACGCGTGATCGAGTTTGAGTCTCGCCAGCTCAAAGCTGCAGAGAAGAACTATCCAGTTCATGACAAAGAGCTACTCGCAATGAAGTATGCTCTAGTCAAATTCAGGGTACACCTGCTAGGCTCTAAGCCTTTTGTGATCTTTACTGATCATGCGTCGTTACGCACTGCGACACAGTCGCCTCATCTCTCTCAGAGAATGGCAAGATGGCTTTCCTTCTTTGCCGAGTATAACTTCGAGGTGAAGTACAAGCCGGGGCGGCTTAATGTAGTGACCGATGCGCTCTCGCGCAGGCCGGACTACGAGTTAGCTCATGTCACGACAGTGACGTCGTCAGTGCGTGACTTGATACGCGGAGCGTATGCACAAGACGACATGTGCGTAGCGCTGCTACGGGCTCTTGGGAGCGAAGAGTTTAACGACTCTGACAACGAATTGTCTGGGCGCTTACGCGCGAGGCTGCATCGATACTCACTCGATGGCGGCCTGCTGTACTACAGCACCGACTCTGAGGATAACCCTCGTGTAGTCGTTCCTCATGATGAGGATCTAAAGTATCGAATCCTCTATGAGGTTCATGATACGCCCGTGGGCGGGCACTTAGGTCGGGAGAAGACCTATGGCTCGGTGAGCTCGATGTACTGGTGGCCCAAGATGTATAAGTGGGTCGGCTCCAATGTACGCACGTGTGAGACGTGTCAACGGACAAAGTCCGCGCCGAGCACGGCAGCGCCATTGGCGAGTTTGCCTGTCCCCAAGAGATGTTGGCAGTCCATGAGTATGGACTTTGTGTTTGGCCTTCCCAAGGACAAGACAGGAAACACGGGCATTGTGGTCTTTGTAGACCGATTGAGCAAGATGGCTCATCTAGCGGCGGTGCCGGACACCATAGATGGTGAAGGTACAGCTTTGCTGATTTTAGACCGAGTCTTTCGCCAACATGGCTTGCCTGAGGCAATTGTCTCGGATCGAGACCCGCGCTTCACCGCGAAGTTCTGGACGTCCCTCTTTAGAGTGCTCGGCACTCGTTTGGACATGTCCACAGCGGACCATCCGCAGACCGATGGTCAAACCGAACGCGTGAATCGCGTTGTGGAGGACATCCTCCGAAGCGTATGCGCTGAGGCGCCAAAACGCTGGAGCCAGCTGCTCCCACTCGTTGAGTTCGCATTACATAATGCAGTGCACGCCTCGACAGGCTACACTCCGTTCTATGTGAACGGCTTGGTTAGCCCTCGCGTCCCACTGACGCCGCCACGCAGTGGCTCAGGGCTTGATGGGGGAGGGATAGCCGAGCGGCTAGCTGATGTCAGCACTGTTGCGGTTCGCAAGCAAGTCAATGACTTTGTCTCTTTGAGACTAAGCGTAAGGCGTCTAGTACGCGACGCTATGGCTGAAAGCCAAAACATGCAAAAAGAAGATGCAGATGCCAAAGGCAGACACAATGAAGAAAGGTTTGAGGTCAGAGACCAAGTTTTATTAAATGCAAAAAACCTACCTACTATTGCAGTGTCTGCAGTCTTTAAGACAAAATTGAGACCACGGTTCATAGGACCGTTCAAGGTCGTGGCCAAGAAGGGCCTAGCGTATACGCTTAACCTTCCGAAGAAGATGCGCACGCATCCAGTCTTCTACCTTAGCTTACTCAAGCCGTATCAGGACCCTGCTCAGGTGAGCACGGAGGCGTTGGCGCCAACGGTGGCTGGGCCACGACAGGCTGCGCAACAGCGGGAGACCGAACCACGGCAGGCTGAACGACAGCAGGTGGCGGGGCCACAAGACGCAACAGCAAGTCGATCTGACCTTGCAGCTGAGCGACTTGACGCTCAAGGTCCGCGACTCGGTTCTGAACCGACTGTGGTTGTTCAAACCAGTCCACGCGGTGGTTCGTCTCATCGAGACCATCTGCAAGGCGACTCAGAGAGTCAGTCGTATCATGGAGATACTGGCTCAGAGAACCCACACGCTGCTCCAGCGCGAACACGTCGCTGCGACTCGCGACGCGAGAGTCCAGCTGAGGCTCGGCCTCCTTCTGCTCTGCTCGACGAGCACGGCGAGCTCCACTTCCATGTGGAACGCGTGGTGGCGAGGCGCAGGCGCCAGGGTCGTACGCAGTACCTTGTGAAATGGAGGGGTTATCCTCACTCACAAAACGCTTGGGAGTTTGAGGTTGTCCTCCGGCAGTACTGCCCTGACGTCGTCGGCGCTTTTGATCGGGCACACTCACTGCCCCGCCGCTACGGCGTACGACCGCGTCGTCAGGCGCCGAGCGCTTCCCGCCGCTAGAACGCGGGGATGACAGGTCGGTTGCTGAGCTCAAGCTCCGACCAATGGCTGTAGCAGCCGGCTCATAGGAATGAGCGGCGCTCGCAACATGAGCAAGAGGTGGTGACGCCTCGAGGTGATGGGGACGGGGTCCGAGTGTTCGTCGACGTGCTTTCGACTTAGCGAAGTCTAAGCGCAAACGTCTCTCAAGACGAATATCAGTTTCAGAGAAACTTGCTCGAAGAGCATTGTAGGAGCGGAGCCGTCGAGCTCCCTCCACCCAGCTTCGGAATTGTGCTTCATAAGCACGCTGGGATTCCCCAGGGTTGAGAACAACCGGAATGGGTCGCATAGAGGGAACCGGTTGGCGGTTGAGCTGCATCTGCAGGCGCGCCTGATACTCCTGAGGAGTTGTGACTTGTGGAGTCAGATATCGCTCTC